AACCATTTCCTTATTCCCCTACTTCCTTCTTTCTCCCTTTTGTTTTAACAGCTATTGGAGTCAGAAGTGCAGTAGATATTTCCACATTGAGAACTTCATATGGAGGGAGAATTAGTTAGGTTCTAGAAGACTAAAGAGCAGAAAGACAGCACTGGAGTAGTATGCAACACCCAGAAGTGGCTGCCATCCCTGATAATCAGAATTGCTACAAAGATTTGGGGGCTATTGGAATTAAAAACTCAAGATGTGCCCAGTGGTGCGGAGGCTCCCCCTGCAACCATTCCTGGTTTCTCTGAGTGTGTGCTGAGCTGAAGCAGCAACTAGAAGAAAAATATAAAACACTCTTCACAGTTTGTTAACAATGCTTGCAGTTGGGATGGAGAATCTAAGTGCCCCTTCCCTAGAAGCATTTCAGTGGTAACTGGACAGAATAAAGTGCAGTCTGTGTGCAGGACTCTGCAAACCCACTTTGCTTTTTTGCCCTGCTTTATTCCCTGCTATTTATTCTCTCACTAAGCTAAGATGTAACAGCTCTCAAAATTTGTGGTACTCGGCTTAGTGTGTTTTGTGTTTCTAGATTTTTCTCTGTTCCTGTCTACAGTGACCTCCCCCGATCTTTCTTGAATCATATAGGTCATGTAGGCAAACTTCATTCTTTGTACAGTGCCGCTGCACTTTGTCCTGTTCAATGGTAACATTTTCATTTCCTTAATTACTTACATTGATTTCTTTTCCTCAGATCTACTTCCTCCATTTACAGGCTGAGCTGGTTGTGCTGGTACACACCTGTAGTTCTATTACTTGGGGACTGAGGCAGGTGGGTTTTTATTTTGAGATCATTCTGGACCAGGTAGGCATGGTAGTACATGCCTTTAATCCCAACACTTGGAGGCAGAGGTAGACTACCTGTCTGAGTTCTAGAACAGTGTGTTCTATATAGCAGCTTCCAGCACTACCTGTTTCATGAAAGAGAAAAAGAAAAGACGAAGAAGAGAAAGAAGATGAAACAGAACTTTTGTGTGTGTGTTTTCAAACTGCATATAAATTGAGTATCTTACATGAAATGCTTGGAACCAAAAGTGTTTCATGACATTGAATTTTCTTTGGGCCATCAGCTCACAAAAAACAATATGGAGACTTATTAATTATAAATTCTCAGCCTATAGCTTAGGCTTGTCCCATTAGCTCTTATAACTTAAATGAACCAATTTCTATTAATCTATGTTTTGCCTCGTGACTTCTTACTTCTCTTCCATCTTGTACCCTGTTTCCACTCCATGTCCTCTGGTGTCTCTCCCATGCTTAGATTCATCTCTTCTTTCTGCCTAGCAGTCCCGCCTAACCTCTTATGTCTAGCTATTGGCCAGTCAGCTCTTTATTAGACCGAAGACACATCTTTACAGGGTGCAAAAAGATTATTCCACAACAGCTTCAGATTTCAGTTTCCAGGATTTTTAGAATGTTTGTGCATATTTTACTGTTTGAGCGTCCAATATTTTAGATATTAGAACAGGTTTTAAGTTAAGGAGCTGTATTGCCTGGCAGAAAATGTGATCTTTAGGATCACAGTGACTGTTCATGGGAGTACAGCAGAGTAGATAGGAATGAATTTATAAACCTATTTACATACTCCGCATCTCACACATCCCCCCTGCCTACAATTCTTTTTTGTTTATTTATTTTTCTTTTTAAGAGTCTGTGTAGTCTTGGCTGGCTGGCCTTGAACTGAACCCAATAGACTCTGACCTCCAGCTCCTGATCCTCACGCCTCAGCCTCCCAATGAGTTCTGGAACTACAGACAAGTGCCACTCAACTCCAGCCTTGCCTGGTTCTGTTCTGTTACTAGTCAGACCACGTTGCTATGCCGATCGCTAGCTATGTTTGAGAACTGACCATGCAACCCTGATAAACAGTGATATGGAACACACCATTCTTTAATGGATTCAAGTCTTGAGAAGGTAATAATGTAAAGTGCATGACTATTTGCAGAGAAAGTAAATTTCATAGTTTTTCCTGATAGATGTTGCTAAGCAATGAAAAGTACTTGTAATACATGTTAAGAAAACAGCAGACCACTACACAAGTAAATCCCCAAGCTACACACCATCTGGTCATTCTGCAGGTCTACTCATAAAGAAAGGCACAGATAGTACCTGCAATGTCTCAGTACATAGTGGCTGCTGTCATTACTGTTAGGAGTTATAGGAGCCCTTTCAGTGAAAGTTTCATTAGCTTAAGTTTTCTGTTTACCTTTGCCTGCTTTCCCAATTTGATCATTCTAAAAAATGAGCGTGCTGAATATAATTGTGTTAACTAGAAAACCACAAATTGTTCTGGTCATTGAGGTTGCGTTGTCTTGAGTGATTTATCATTTCAAACATTGAAGGCAGATGGGTAGTGGTGCACACCTTTAATCCCAGCACGCAGGAGGCAGAGGCTGACAGATATCTGTGATTTGGAGGCCAGCCTGGTCTACAGAGTTCCAGGACGGCCAAGGCTACCCAAAGAAACTCTGTCTCAAAAAAAAAAAAAAAACAATACAAGTCAACATAAAAAAGATGCAAAGGAACCAAGGCATGGCAGAAGTTGGAAGATACAAAAATTAACATTATTCCTCAAAGAAATGCATGATAAAATCATACAAAATTTTTAGCTTATCAAAATATTTTTTTAATAACAATACAAAAATTTTGTTAGTGGTGATGAATGGGTGCATTCCTGTTTGGGAAAGTGATGTAACGCATATCCTTAGATGTACACCAACTTTTTTGGGGGGAGGAGTGGAGGGTCCTGAGTTTTCCCAAGTAGCCCAGGCTAGCATTAAACTCGCTGTGTAATAACTCAGGTTGGCCTCCTCCCTCCCTGGGATTACAGATGTGTACCTCAAAGCCTGGCTGTTTTGTCGTATTATAACATTTGTACCTCATTCAATTTAGCTCTTCATCATCCAGAATTTAAGACAGTTGAAAAACCCAGCTATCCTTAGTCTCTTACATATCATAAATGTTCTAAAATAGAGCATATTATTATTGTGCTTTTACATAAACATCTATAACATATATGATTAAATGAAAATATCATGTACTAAATTTGTTAGTATTTTGTAATTAAAAATGACTTATTTTATTAAAATTTATAAGTTAAAAATTTATCTTAAACTTATACTTGGTTTTAGAAGACATTTTGAAAACTGAAAAAGATTTAAAACTGTTGATTTGAAAATCTTTTCATGCAAATTAGTTTGTTGGAAGCAGTAGTTTTTGTGAAGATATGCAGTATCTTTAGCACAGAATATTTGAAAGGGGCTGGGTACAATTTAAAAAATTTTATTTTTGTGTTTTTGTTAACATAATTGTAATTAAAATTACATTTATCTTTTTTGTATCTATATTAAGTAGATGCATCCATTCAATAGATATTTATTGATTCCTGCAATGTTTAAGACTTAGCACTCATGTGTCATGCTGAGCCAAATAGATGTAGTCCTGCTAATTTCCGGTTCAAAACCTGGTGGGGGTGGGGCATGGACTTAAATAAGTACACAGTTAGATACATGGCACAAAGGGGACATTGGGAATGTTGGAGGAGAGCTTGTCAGGTTTTGTTTCCAGGATAGAAAGGGACAGTATGGGGAGTCTGAGCAAATGACATGATCTGCATAGGAACAGTTCTCTGCTTCCTTGAAGAGAACAGATCTAAGATACAGGAACCACTGCTAGGAACCAGTGGCTGCCACAGACAAGAGAGCTGCTCTGGACTAAGGGAGTCAGAATCTGTATCTGCACGTTGTACTAGGGAACAACTAATGGGTGGTGGTGGGTGCCTGGATGTGTGACTCACTTTGAGAAGAGGTAAATGCTGTGATACTGACTGACTGTGTACGTTTTCTGTAAGACCTTTTAGGATGCCTTGTTAGTGGATAACTGTCATTTTAAACTGTTATTTCCTTAAAATCATCATACATGGCACTGTTTCAAAGGCTATGAACATCAACGTGTAGATGGCATAGCACATATATGTGCCTCCTAATGTATGTATAATCGGTAGACAGATAGATGGATGATTGGTAGGTAGGTAGATAGATGATATATAATAGGTAGATAGATGATAGGTAGATGATATATAATAGGTAGATAGATGATAGAGAATTGCTTTCCAAGAGGAATGTGCCTCGTTGTATCGTCAGAAATGGTTTAATTCTCCCTGCAGCTCCTTCTTGCCCGCAGAGTGCATTTTATTTTGAAGTTTTATGTTACCTCACAGATGGAAAATATGTTCTTTAGCGTGGAATAACTTTTCCTTATTCTCATAGTGTGCTGAGTGAGTTTAAGTGACTTTATTTTGTCCTGACTTACTGAGGATATTAGTGACTGACTATCTGGTGAACCTTCTTTGAAGGCAGGAAATAACACTCATTTAACATGTGAAATATGGGTGCTTTTCTTTGCTCCGTCATTAACTAGTTTCCATGTAGAATCTATTTTAAATTGGCTGGACTTTGTTATTGTATACTTTGATAATATGATCATTTATTTTTAAGTAACAATTTGTTTTTAGGATACTTCAAGTTTATGAAGTTATTTTACTGGCTTACAGGGTGAAATTGGCAGATTTTTATGAAAAGGCTATGTGGGTCTTTGTCACATCATCTTTGGGGACTCTTGAGTTAATTTTAGTTTCTTTGGGTATGTGGGGGGTATTGAGACAGGGTATCATTATGTAGACTTCGCTTGCCTGGAACTTACTGTGTAGACCATGCTGGCCTTGGACTCACAGGTATCTGCTTGCCAGTAGCCTTCTTAATAGGTGCTAAATGGCATCTCATGGTTTTGTTTTATTTCTCTTAATGATGTCAAGGGCTTATTGGTCACTGGTCTGCTTTGAAGATTATCTGAAGTGCTTTGCCCATTTTGAATGGAGAAATCTGTTGCTGAGTTGGGTATGTCCACCTTTTAAAAGATGCACTGTAATAACCCAGACTGTGTTTCTGCCTTCTCAGGATTCCTACAGGAAACAAGTAGTAATTGATGGAGAAACCTGTCTCTTGGATATTCTCGACACAGCAGGTCAAGAGGAGTACAGTGCAATGAGGGACCAGTACATGAGGACTGGGGAGGGCTTTCTTTGTGTATTTGCCATAAATAATACTAAATCATTTGAAGATATTCACCATTATAGGTGGGTTTAAGTTGAATATAGAAGTTGACTTTGAGAAGTAATGATAGCTTCATTTATTGATTCTTTGCTAATTGTTATACCTGTATAATCTTTAAATTTGAAAACACTTGTGCCAAGTATGCAGAATTCCAGTTTTATAAATGGAGCTTTTTTTTTTTATTTTTATTTAATTTATTTTTTTAGGTTTTTGTAGATAGGGTTTCTCTGTAGTTTTTTGGAGCCTGTCCTGGAACTTGCTCTGAAGGCCAGGCTGGCCTCAAAATCACAGAAACCCACCTGTTTCTGCCTCCTGAGTGCTGGACTGAAGGCGTGCGCCACCACCACCCAGCACAAATGCAGCTCTTTGGGGTTGCTGCGGTTGCATAATTTGTCCCAGTTTGTGCAGATAGTGGTAGTGCTGACTGAGAACAAGTTTCTGATACCAGGGTCCGCTAGAGAAATATAACTGTTAATGTTTTAGAGACATTAGATACCAACCAGAAACAGAAGCATGGATAGTCTGTTTGAGATGGTGCCACTCAGATGATCTTTAAAAAATCATATTTTATTACAGAATATCATAGGGTGACTAAGCAGTGGCCTTATGTGTTTTTGTTTTGTTTTGTTTTGTTTTTTTTAAAGAAAATACATTTAGATGGCATAAGAGGTTGAAGAATTAGAGCTATTGCTGGTTTTTATGACTCTGACAAATGTATGTAAGATTGCTTAATCATTACATGAGATGTACTTTACATTCTTTCCTGGAGTTTACAGTAGTCATCACATTGCTGATTAAGCTGTGCCACATAACCATGAGCAGCTGGGTAAGAAGGAGCATCTCAGTGATAAGGAAGGGGAGACGGAGGAAGAGCTTCTCTGTAGTGGTGCAGAGAACGCCTGGGGATGTGAACCCACCCCACTGCTGCCAAGCATCATTTTAGACATTCATGGAAAATTGTGAAGGAAAATTTACAATTTTATTCTAAATTTAGGCTTTATTTACATATTACATTGACAGCAACACATGAAAAGGACTCTTAACAGAATACACATTGTAGTTTCTTTGGTGTTGCTCTTCAGGACTGGAGAGCTGGCTCAGCAGTTATGGACAGGTGTTTCCTTTCTTGAGGATCCATGCCAGTCATCTCATAACCACTGCAGCTGCAGGGAATCCAGTACTTTTGGCCTCCATTGGCCCCTGAACTCACATGCACATACCTATACATACACACACACGATTAAAATTAAAATCAGTCTTTCCAGTGATTATCTTTCTCTCTTGAGTAGTACAGTAGTCTCCTTTTCCCATAGTTTAATTGTTTGACATTTTGCTCATGCTCACCTAAATCTGAAAAATACTAAATGGAAATTTCTAGAAATAATGTAGCTTCTATTACATGTTGTTACAATTTTTATTTTATATTAGTCTCTTACTATACCTAAATTGCCAATTAAACTATATTATTGATATGTGTATATGGGAGAAATAGTATATGAAGGGTTTGGTACTGTCCCCAGTTTGAGGCATTTGGTCAGGGGTCTCAGAATATTTGCCCACAGATGTCAGAGAAAGGTCTTGTGAAATGTCAAAGTTATGTTAATACTGGTAATTCATGTTTGGGTAAAAACAAGGGTTATCTTATTCACAATACAACTTTGGCTGGGGTTGAACTTACTTTATAGATCAGACTGGCCTGGAATCAGCAGAGTTCATCCTGCCGATTAAAGACATTTTCAGTTGTACAATACCCATTTATGTATCATGTTTCTAAGACAATTTTAAACATGGTACTTTCAATTTGGAACTTTTTAGTATATTTCTTATTGTTGTATATACTCATGCAAATGAATCCTTTCTGCTGTAGTTGAGACTGTATCAGTATTTGAGTTTTCAATAGACATGTAAGATCCTTGTCTTAGAGGAAAGAATAAGTAAGAAAAGAAAGGAAAATATGGTATGATAGAAACTAGGATTTATATGAAGAAATCATTCAGTCAAGTTCTGTAGGACAAAAGTTGAGGGCAAGGTTTGAAATATTTTGTGTTGCTCATGCTTCTGTTTCAAATTTGTTTTTTCTCCAGAGAACAAATTAAAAGAGTAAAAGACTCTGAAGATGTGCCTATGGTCCTAGTAGGGAATAAATGTGATTTGCCTTCTAGAACAGTAGACACAAAACAGGCTCATGACTTAGCAAGAAGTTATGGGATCCCATTCATCGAAACCTCAGCAAAGACAAGACAGGTAAGTAAAACTGGAGTGAGTGTAAGTGTAAGTGTGCATGCCCGCATGGCTGTTGTTGGGTGCCAATCATTCAGTGTGATTCACCAGAGTATAAATAATGTTTATTTGGCTTCTCTTGAGTGGACAGTACTTTTTATCCAGGGACCATGATATTATTTTGGATTCGTTCTCTGTCTCTTTCTCTTTGTCTCTTTTACTTTTTTTTTTTTTCTCCTTTTGTGATGGTGGGGATTGAAACAGGATCTGTGTTCTACACCCTCCAGCCTGGCCTTGAACTCTCAATCTCCTAAATCTGTTTTCGGGGAGCTGGGATTATGGGTGTGTTCCACTGCCTGGTGTTTTGTTTTCTATTCATATTGAAATTTCCACGTACATTTTACATTTAGGATTCAAGAAATGTGGAAAACATTTTCCTGCTTAAATGATACAAAGAACGGTGGAATAAATTTTGAGTTCCTTATTTTAGAAGCAGTTTTAAGAATTCACGTTTCGGGGCTGGAGAGAGAGATGGCTCAGTGGTTAAGAGCATTGCCTGCTCTTCCAAAGGTCCTGAGTTCAATTCCCAGTAACCACATGGTGGCTCACAACCATCTGTAAAGAGGTCTGGCGCCCTCTTCTGGCCTTCAGGCATACAGACAGAATATTGTATACATAATAAATAAATATTTTAAAAAAAAAGAATTCACGTTTCAGCTGGGCATGGTAGCACACACCTTTAATCCCAACACTCAGGAGGCAGAGGCAAGTGGATCTCAGTGAGTTTAAGGCCAACCTAGTATACAGAAGGAGTTCCAGGACAGCCAGGGCTATACAGAGAAACTCTATCTTGAAAAAACAAAAAACCAAAACAGAAAACAAACAAACAAACAAAAAAGAATTTATATTTCTAGATTAAATTTTATTGTATCTGAAGAATTATATTTAGGCAGAAAGTTTTGAGGTCTAATTCTTTAGGGAGAAAGTTGTGATTAAAATAAGGGAATATTTAGAAAGTGAACAGATAATTTTAAATTATCAACTACATTGTTCTGACCAAAGTATATGTCAGAACCTGAATTTTGTTTCAAAATCATCTTCATTTTAAAACTAACTTTAAATTTCAGTTGATAATTACATCATTTGTGTTTGCAATGGTAGTTTAGCATAAGGGAAAAAGCATCCTAGGAGTGAGTTCATAAAGACAAGGGGAAACCGTTGTGTGCACTGAATGTTGAGTTGATTTGTAGTGCATGAATTTGCTCAGAGATTTATGGGAACGCCCATAAAATGGTTTTGTAAAGTTTAACTTCTGCGATGAAATTTTTTAAAATTGAGGAGCACCTCATTTCATCACACTTAAGTGTATAAAGGGTCATCACAGAAATGTTTACTGGATTTTGTGAGGGATGTAAAAATTTAAACAAATTTCAAACATGCAGATGGATAAATACAAAGAAAATTTCCCTAGGAGGTCATATGTGCCTATTCTTAGCTGTACAAATAGGGTGCATGTTGAAAGAAAACAGTGGATTCAGTGTGAAGTCTTTATTTGGCTTATAAAAAGTGAATTCTTGTAGTTTGAATGTCACATGGATATCTCCTGGGTTCCAGTCTGTGCAGCTGGCTAAGAGTTTACAAGAGACTTGATGTGCCTCACTTGGATGATAGAGGAACCATTTCATTCATGTCCATCCCATGTTCTAATGACAGGAAGAGGCTTGATTCAATGTTTTATTTCCTGGTTTCTGACCAGTCTCGTGGATTTTCCTCAAAAGCAGCCCAGAAAACATAATTATAATATCTATGACTTTCTTCTATGTTAGAAACAGTTCTTTTGAAAGAACGCAAATATGAAATGTAAGAATTTTATTGAAAACTACTATATAGACTTTACCATTAACATTTGACTACTTGCATTGTGTAAACGTATGCAGAAAGATACCTTTCATGCTAGTGGTCCTTGTAGTTGACATTTCACAGGAAAAAGAAAAGCCCGAGACTGGGATGCAGCCCAGAAGAGCCTCTCATACTTGAGTGGGTTAGCATCGGAGCCTGGGATTCTGCACTCCTTTGCCCTGTGGGCAGTGCTGGTGTGGGTGTGGGCCACAGAGCACAGTGAGAGGAGTCTCCACCCCTCACGCAGAAGGAGCTTCAATAACTGCATTTAATTTATTGTTTGTGTTTGCAGAAATGCTTTTGTGTACTATGGTTCATAATTGATTAGAACATCGTCTGGCTTCCTTTTAAAGTAGCCTTTTAGCTTTAACGATGTTCTCTCTCTCTCTCATACACACACACACACACACACACACACACACTTCATTTTTTTCTTGTTTTTAGTGTTTTGATAGTTGTACAGCCCAGGCAAATCTCAGACTCATTATGTAGCAGAGGTGCCTCTCCCTCCCGTATGCTGGGACTACAGGCGTATGCCACTGCCCAGCTTACTTGTCAGTGTAAAGTACGGTGCAGAAGTGGATTCTCTTAAATTTGCGTTTTAGATAGTGTGAGTTGTCTAACATGTATAGAGGTAAGATATACTAGAACTTCTTAAGCAGTGCTTAGCATTTGTATTTATGTCTTTTTTATTGATTTTTTTTCTATTTATGTCTTTTGTGTAATGTGTTTCTAAACTATAACCTATTCTTCAGTGAACTTGTTGATTTGTTTAGAAATGTATTTGCTTGCTTTGAGAAGTCATTAATATTGCTTGAAATTTAATATTTATAAAGTTATGGAAGATTCTAAAGATTTTACTAATTTTAAAATTACTAATCTAAAATTTTAGTAATTTATAACATACAATGTACATTTTAATAAGTTTTATATCTCCAGTTTTTGTGAAAATTTTATGCTCCTTTTTAGGGAGTTTTGTTACTGTCTTTTATTTGCTTATTGTTTTACTTAAGTATACATGTCCTTATTGTATTTTGTTAGCAACTTGTTCTTGTTCATGAGCTTAACAAAAGCACCAAAAAAAAAAATCTACTTATGGTCATAGGAACTGAACATTCATTCGGAAGTTCTTGCAGACTTAAGTGAAGGCGTGGCAAGCATTTTTGCAGAGGCGCAGATAGTAATGTGGTATCTTACACATTATTTTCCCTAAGAAGCCTTGATAATGTAAAACTCCTTGTCAGCTTATACCAGAACAATTGACCCTGCCTGCACTTGGCCTGTGCGCGGTAATATAAGAATCTCAGCCTCTCTAGGTGACAGTTGATGAAATTGTTCGGCCTAAAATCATATTTTACCATTTTAAAGCAAAATTTGTGTATTTAGTGAAAAATTGTATCTTATTACATTTCCCCTCATTTTCTTAAGTCAGCAGAAGCACCTATGTGGCACTAGTGGAACGGCTGACTGGCTGTTTACACACATTTCAAACCATGTATAGGTGTATATGTGTATGCATATGAAATTTGAAATTTATGCCCTGGCAGTGCTAAAGCGTGCATGGGCAGCTCCTATATGATGGTTCTGTTGAACTTGTCCATTTGGGTTTCATGGTCTAAGTTGTTGAGGACAGCTGACCAAATCTCTTCCTCAAGAGGACACCAGATCTCATTACAGATGGTTGTGAGCCACCATGTGGTTGCTGGGAATTGAACTCAGGACCTTTGGAAGATCAGGTGGTGCTCTTCACCACTGAGCCATCTCTCTAGCCCCATTTTATTGCTTTGAAGATAAGGGTTGCAGAATATATTTTTACCAGTACATTATTTTTTAACTTTAAAATACACATTAACTTACCAGTAGTATGTAAGGATAAGTTGGAGATTAGATAGATAGATAGATAGATAGATTGTGTGTGTGTGTGTGTGTGTGTGTGTGTGTGTGTGTACGTGTGTGTATTGACAGGGTTTTGCTGTGTTGCCCAGACTGTTCTGGAACTCTAGACTAAAGTGATTCCCCTGCCTCCCCATCCTCAGTCTCTGGAATTACAGATGTGTGGCATTGAGCTTAGCTGTTTTCATGTCTTTATCTGAAAGGGCAAAGGGGCTCAGTTAAACTAGCTGGTGTGCTATGATGCCCCGGTATTCTTAGTCTCTAAAGAGAGCCACTTCACATTTATCAAGACACTTGGGAATTGACAGGCTTTTCTGAGTTCTGGACAGCGTGTCAGAAAAGGCTGTTGAGACTGAACACCTTGAGGATTAGCTGTGAATTTGTGAAACCGATAAAGCCAAAAGTCAGAGCGAGTGGGTGTCAGGTAGATGACAAGCAGGGGTTTCAGAATAGCCCATTAAAAAAAAAGCCGGGCGGTGGTGGTGCACACCTTTAATCCCAGCCCTTGGGAGGCAGAGGCAGGGGGATCTCTGTGAGTTCGGGACCAGCCTGGTCTACAAGAACTAGTTCCAGGACAGGCTTCAAAACCACAGAGAAACCCTGTCTCGAAAAAAACAAAACAAAACAAAAAAAAGAAAGTGAAACAAATTTAAAACCTCAGGTGCCTAATCTAATAATTGCCCTCCCCCATGAGATAAGTGTTTTGAACTTTGAGTTAGAAGTGGACAGTTATTGAACCCTTGCTGTACTTCAGGAACCCTTACATGGGTAGTAGTTTGACAAGGTTTCTTGAGAAATAATCAGGGATGTGGGGTCGTGTCTCTATTCCCTCCCCAGAAGGCCAGGGTTGCTGCTTCTGTGTAGTCACAGTTGATGCTACAGGTGTGTCACTCCCTTGACAGATGATTCAACAGGGAAGAAAACCCGTGATACAAATATAATCTCTTACTGATAGCAAATGAAAAATGTTATGTTAGCAGGTCTCCAGGGGGTGCTCTGTTTTCATAGTCTCATCTGCTTTGACCTCAAACATTGTCATATCTCTCTGTTTACACAGGAATTACATGCTTAAACTTGGATACTCTTGTTTATACATAGATATTTTCATTTGCCCTCGGGGTTCACTAAGTGACATTTTAAAGTGTCAATAAGTTATACCCTCAAGGACAAATCTCTTATGCACCTTGAGTTTAGCAAGTCGTTGTAACTACCTTATTTTTAAATATTACTTCAAAGTTCAGCATATTAAAATCAGTATTCTGCATTATAGTCCTGTACCTTATGTAGTATTTAGACCTAAGAGGCTGATGATGGTAGGCCAGGATACATAGCACTGTTGTTAAGATCTCTTGATGGCAGCATAACTGTGACACATATTTTCAAGGCATAACTAAGTATGTAAAATGTGGGAAATTACTTTTTAAAATGAATTTAAATTTCATATTTGTAAAACTAAGAAATGGGGGGGGGTTCTGTAGTAACTATTTCTTGGTGTTAATTATCTTGACCCCTGAGACCCTAATACCGAATCCCTGGTGATGGGTAGTTGTCTCTTTAATTATTGGCTTCCAATTCTCTCTCTGCATTGCTGGAAACAGAAATCATCTATTCTTGTGTTGGTGATGGGGATGCTCACACTGAAAAGCAGACAGGATCAGATTTTCTTCTGTTGGAGGGCACACCCTCTTTCTCCTCTCTCCATAGCACATCGACCTCCACACTGACAGTGTGACTTTGATTTTAAAGAAGTAATACAGATTTACTTTCTTTAAGATTTTAAGAAAATATGAGCTTTTGCCTGGTTTGTCTCTTAAATAAATGTATAAATATATGGAGATTTTTTTCATTGGCTTTCAAGTTAAAAGAGAGTAATTATTTATGAAAATATAGATTGACCAGTCATGTTTTACATTTTAAATGCTTTGTAAGTCACTTACCTTAAATAACTTATTTTTATATAATCTGAACATTTCTGATATATTTTGAAGAATAAATAAGTAAAACTTTCACCTTGAATTAATGAGAAAACTACTAAAAACATTCAGATACAAGTGGGGATTTTATTTTAAATGCCACATTTAGTGATTTTTAAAAGTTGAAAATGTTTGTTCCCCTGTAGGAAAGTAGTTGATTAAATTGATTCCATTAAAATAAGATTGGGTTGGGATGCCGGAGAGATGGTTCAGGAGTAAAGAATGCTTGCTACAGTGGGCCATGGTGGCACACACTTAATCCCAGCACTCAAGAGGAAGAGGCAGGCCTGGTGTGCAAAATGAGTTCCAGGACAGCCAGGCAGGGCTAAAAAGAGTGCTTGCTGCTGCTCTTGCAGAGGGCATGACTTTGGTTCCTACCCTCTCACTGGGTGGCTAGCAGTGACTCGAGCTCTGGTGCCTCCGTCTAGCCTCCAAAGGCACCTACCTGTACACATACACACACATAAAAATAATATTTTTTTCTATTTTTTATTATTAGATTGAATATTTTTCATTGGGTGGCACATGGTATTAGGCAGAAGTTTATATTTCAATATGGAATCAATATTTAAATCCTGCTTCTTTACTGAAACTCAGTTTTACAATTTTAAAGGTAAATTACTGAATTTCACTGAAGTGGTTCTTAATACATTTTTGAGATTTATAAAACTTAATGTGCCCTAAATTATTGAAGTACTTTTTCCTAACTGTTAAATGCAGCAAATGACTTACACATGCAAAATGAAGCCTTAGTTGTTGGCTTATTACCCTCAACACTGACTGCCTGATCTCTGTTCCTGATTGAATTTAAAATAAATTGTTTTTTGGCATATTAGCTTCTTAGGTGCTAGGTACATTTATCACATTTGGTTCAATGGAAAAACTTATTTTTACCAATTGTAGAAAAAAATAGAATATACTAATTCTCTATATAAGCAATTCATTATTAAAATGAAATAAAATCCATTTAAAAGTAAATAGTAAAATATGCCAAATTTCTTAAGTATTTACCTTTTTTTTAGAAGAATGGACATAAATATTACATCTGAGGTTGAATTTGTACTACATGTATGTGAAGTTTCTGAACATTAGATAAGCTCCTTTGGTGATGCATTTTTCTGAAGAAATTAGCATTATAATTATAAGCACTTTGTGCCTCTTAGGCTCTTGCCTAATTTTCTGTTTTGAGAAAGTTGAAAATCTTTCCATAAAGGCTGTTTATGATTCTCCTTGTAGATTTATACCACAGCCTTAAGCCAGAAAACCCCATTAGAAGGGCAGAGAGATCGCATAGCAGTTAAGAGCACTTACTATTCCTGCAGAGGTTCTGGGTTCAGGTCCCAGGACCCACATGGTGACTCACAGTCTTGTTATCCAGTTCTAGGTGATCTGAGTCATTCTGACCTTTAAGGACCAGGTGTGCACAAGGTGCACAGACATACATGCGCTCGAAACACTCATGCACATAAAATAAATTCCAAAATAGTTTAAAAGAACCCCTCTTTAGAGTATGCAATTAAAATTCAAGGCACACAGGAGCATCTGCAGACTGTTGGAGACTTATATAAGGATATAAATGTATTGCTCCTATCTTATATATTTCAAATAGTTTGTGGAGTTTCTTGCTTTGGTAAATGGCTGCTACTTAACTTATTTAAATACTGTAATTATCCATCCACTGTGGTACCAGTCTCAGATGGGCTTAGGGATTTAGAAATTAACTAGAATTACCCATTGGAGATAGAACTGGAGGTTCCAATGTTTTGAATCACTTTGGTTGGGACATGGATTTGAGGTTTGGTTTTAGCAAAGCGTCAAGTCTCTAGTCAGCCTCTCTCTCTGCTCCCCTGCTGGGTGGAAGGTGACATCAGTGGTGTATGGAGGTCACCTGTCTTCCTTTGTTCAAGGAAAGTTCAGACCTAACTTCAGTTCCTCAAACTCCAGTTATTATATCGAGAAACACAGACACAGAGCTAGGCTTTTCAGTCTCCTCTGATTCCTAACTAAAAATATTTAACTCTTGATTCCAATAAAAAATTAAATACTTTTGAGAACAAACCAGGTTCTAGCTCATGTTTTAAAGCCGCATCCTCAGTTTTACTCAATCTGGTGTCTGCTTTAAAAAATTCTCAACTATGAAGCTCATAATCCAAACTTCTTACACATGGCTCTCCCAGTAAATTACTCTTCCAAATGAAACAGACTTTAAAGGAGTTGTGTTTTACAATGCAGAGAGTGGAGGATGCTTTTTATACATTGGTGAGAGAGATCCGACAGTACAGATTGAAAAAAATCAGCAAAGAAGAAAAGACTCCTGGCTGTGTGAAAATTAAAAAATGCATTATAATGTAACCTGGTAAGTTCAGCATACTCATTTTGGTACAAAGCAGATGTCTTTCACAGGTAACAAAGCAGACAGAACTACTTAGATGTGGTGTTCTGCTTTGAAGTGTTAAAAATAAGAAACTTGTCATTTGTTTCTGTAATGAGTGCACTGATTTTACAAGAGATTGTTAATTCTGACTGACACCTTTTGGTGACTGCAGTCGACTAGTCTGCATTTGTCATAAGCTCTAATGGCTGCATTAGTTTTAAGTAAACTAAGCATTTGAGAACTGATGGTTTATTTAAAGGAAATCAGATTTAAATTTTAAGATAACCAGCAGCTTTTGAGTAAAAAAATATGTAATAATAATATGGCCCAGAGGTGGGACAAGGCCCAAGTTAACAGTTTCCCCCCTGTGCTTTGTAGCTAGGTGCCTACCCAGGGAGATCTGGGCACCGTTGTGTGCTCCTGTACCCATTCCAAAGCAGCTGTGTTACTTCAGGTCTTGTGCTGTTTCCATGTAGCTGCCATCATCACTGTACAGGCTGCTCCAGAGGAATGCCAGTCTCCTACTTGTGAATCTAGTCAATGGTCCACAGTGAACACCGCTCCAGCATCCCTGCACACACCTTATGTGGTCCTCAACCTCCCCATTTCCCACCTTTTGGAACTTTGTATCTGAAAAGTACCATCTTGCCAGAGTTTTGTCCCTACATAGACACCATGTTAGCCCTGCCTCCCTTCCCTTAAGTCTTGCCTCTTGTTGGATCACAGTATTCTTATCCCTAGTTGGATTAACAAGCTAACATGTGATTACCCAGTCTCTAAGAATCTCTTCAACCCCCTAAAGTGGGCATTGTGGCTTTGTGTATTTCTAGTATACTATTTTTAACTATATGGTTTTTATGTTGCATTGAAGTAGCTTATGTTTTATTCTTTTATTAGACAATAGACTTCCAGAGATGGACCATATATTTTAATCTTTTGTGCCCATTGTGTGCTGGAATTCTTGGCACATAGGTACTTTTTTTTAGTAAATATTGAATGGACCCTTTAACTTCCCTGTCTAACCCAGATTATATTTTGTGTAGTTCACCCAATTCTTCACTCAGTGAGTTGACATTTGTAGATGCTGTTGTCATATATGTGTATCTTGAGAACATGAAACAAAATTAGTGTTTAAGACCACTAAGTGATGTAAACTCAGAAACAAAGCAATACTTGCATGGCTTTCTAAGGGGATTATAAACTCCTATAATTTGTGTCATTGTGTAGAGCCATACTTCCGTTTTAGAAATTGTGCTACAATTCAGCATTAAAAATGCAATTTGAAAAGTTAACCTTTGAAAATAGCAGTCATGACCAGATTTAAGTGGCGAGTTTAACCTTATTCCTTTTCCAGCCTCACTCTTAGATTATTTTAAAATAGAACAACATTTAGAGTATGTGGTACACTTAACATTATATTCAAAACGAAGGCAGAATCACACTGTCCGTCTAAAAGATAGAGTTGTAGCAGTGACTGGCGTGAATGCTAATAGTTTGACCCTATGAATTGAATCGTTGTGATTTTAGTGCATATAGCACAGTCCATATAAAGAAAGGGTATATTTTATGATATTTATAGTTAGATATAAAGTTTTTATTTAATAGCGATAAATACATACTAATTAGTTGTTCATAGTTGTAAAAAAAGGGGTAAGTGTAAACAGAATAATTAGCAGAATATGACATGTGACTTTATGAGAATTAGTTCCCACAAGAACAAGGAGTTCACTGCCCTGTGTACATTAACTATGACATTTCTCTAACCTTGAAGTCATCTACTTAGAATAACTGCAGAACCTGAGAAGAGGGTATGTGCTGTTAAGTTCTGTTTTCCTTGTCTCTTAAATGCTTGTATTTTATTCCCCCTTAAAAAGTTTCATACAACTATCCCTCTCAGGATTTCTATTTCTCTGCATCATTGTTTTAGTATCATTGGTCTTTCTTCATTATAAAAATAGCTCGAGGGCTAATGAGATGGCCATCCAGCCTGAGGACCTGAGTTTGTTCTTCAGATCCACTTGGTGGGAGGCAAGAACTTGCAGGTTGTCCTCTGACCTCCATATGTGTGTCATGGCATGCACACAAACACAGAAATAAATGAATGTAATTTTTTAAAAAGTTGAAACAGAGTAGCCAATATAATGCGTGATCAAAGGGAACTCGTGAAGGTTAAAAGGGAGTTAGATAAGATTGCATCTCAGGGCTGGGAGATGGCTCACTGAATATGCACGCTTATTGTGTTAGTGTGAGCACCTGAGTTCAGATCCCTGGAACTCACAAAAAGCTGGCTAAGTACCAGCTGTAATTCCAGCATTGGGGCAGGGGTCAAAAGTAATCATTGGAGTTTACTGGTCACCGGCCTAGCTCCAGTCTCATTGGGATACTTTGCCTCAAGGGAAGATGGTGGAAAGCAATGGAACAAGACTCCTGGTGTCCTCCTCAGGCCTCCTCTTGAATACACAGGTACCCCTCCCCCCCACACACATGCAGACAAAAAGATTTCATCCAATTCCAAGGGTCTATGACCCTAAGTGGTAAAGTGCCAGTGAGTCATAGGTACTTTTATTATGTCCTTGGAAGGGTTTCTCACCGCGTTAAGGACAGCGTGGAAGGAAGAGTCTGTCTTCCTTTTCTGCCTGAGTGGATCTCATCCTCTAATTCAGCCTTGACTGTATTGTTTGTATTGTATCAGGAATGGTGTTCAGGAGGTGAAAAGCACCAGTGAGAGCAGATTCGGGGTTTGGGGCAATATATATTTATTCACTCGCATTCTAATAGATGATACTGGCATTATCCTGTTTCTCTTTGTTAAATGTGAGCAAGCTTCATTGCCATTCTACCTTTCTAACTGTACCGAATTAGGGATTAGTTGTCAAAATGAAAAGTTGAAAGTATACAGAAGTGGCTTAACTTGTTGGGTGCCATTCTCCAGATTCCCTCTATTGTCTAGGTTTGGAAGCATTATTAGGTTAAAGTTTCTTTCTGTAGTTCCTACTAGGATGAACAGATAAAATAAAGCATGGCCACACATTTCTTCAGCATCACTTCTGCTTTTAACAAAGATAAGGCAAGGGCTTACTCCAGTGTGAACTTGCATATTTAAGGTTTAAAGTCAGTTTTCTTACTTCTAGAATGTACTCTTCATGCCAGGGTCTAGGAGGTTGGAAATTACTCTGACTTAATCAATTTTAGTCACAACTGAAAAAATAGCAAATAGATGTAGGCTTTAATTACTAATGTTGAGGTTCTTTGAAGATGGGTTTTTATATGGCAAGTTTTGAATAGCTGAACAGTAACTAAAACAGAGCATCTTCTGCAGTGTGGTCAAGTCCATCACCTCTCAGACAACTTTGCTCATCACCAGAGGTCAGGAGCATTACAACAACTTTCAAGGCAACAGTGTCCTCAAGTCACATGGCTTACGGTCCAAAGTCCAGAAACTCGGGGACAATTAAGTTGTATATATAAAGGCACACCTACCATACATGGAGGCAAGCATTGAGAATTGTGTCTAAGTTTGCTAGTAGGGAAAAATTAGTAGAAAATTAAGTCCTTTTGTGGGAAAAAAAAGTCATTTGTTAAGCTTATGTAAGATTCTGTGCCACTTACTATCTCTGCATGCTATGAAAGTCAAGTTTCTATTTCTGTAGAATACCAGGACTGGAGAGATGGCTCAGTGGTTAAGAGCACTGGCTGTTCTTCCAGAGGACTCAGCCACGCAGCACCCACAAGGCAGTTCACAACTGTTCCTGGGGATCTGATGCTCTTCTCTGGCCTCTGTTGAGCACTGTACTCACATGATGCAGACAGACGTGCAGACGAAACACTCATACACATTAAGCTGTTTTAAATATCATAAAATTTTTAGGTAATAATTTAAATATTTTAAAATGTTAGAGTATCCATGATGCGATACTTAATGCTAACATTCTGGCCCATTCAGCTACCACAACATCAGCACAAACTGGACTTGCGTTTGTCAGTAAAGTTTCCATTGACAGTGACGTCTATCATGGGGACCGCAGGCCATCAAATGCGTTAACATTTTGATTCTTTTTTGATATATTTCAGGGTGTTGATGATGCCTTCTACACATTAGTCCGAGAAATTCGAAGACATAAAGAAAAGATGAGCAAAGATGGTAAAAAGAAGAAAAAGAAGTCAAAGACAAAGTGTATAATTATGTAAATACAATTTGTACTGTTTTCTTAAGGCATACTTAAGGTGGTAATTTTTGTACATTACACTAAATTATTAGCATTTGTTTTAGCATTACCTAATTCTTTTTTTCCCCTGTTCGTGCATACTGTCAGCTTTTATCTTAAATGCTTATTTTAAAATGACAGTGGAAACCTCTTTATTCCAAGTGCCAGTATTCCCTGGGTTTTGAACTTAAACTAGCAATGCCTGTGGAAGAGACAAAGACCTGAGACTGTCTTGAGTTCTGGTGCGTGCCCTTGATTCCTTGCTACTTCTTTCACCAGCTGTGAGCGTTGGTGTGAACCATGGTAATGAAGCTTTTGAGCCATCCTGTTCTGTGTTTCATCAGGTCACAGAATGAATTAGTAGTAATTACAGCTTCATCTGAGACCATATGATTGGTTCTGCTAAGACTGAGGGATCACAGATTTATGGGCTTCCCTTTGATTCCCTTCTAGCATGTCCGGAGTCTGTCATGCTTCGTAAGTGTAGTTAGTCAGACTGTTCACAAAGGCTTTCTCTTGCTTTCTACTGCTATTACTCATGTCATGCCCCAAAATAGTATATTTTTTCTAGAAAAGGGGGAAAATGGGAAAAAAAAAAGGCAATGGAAAATAGTGAATAAAAGTCCATTCCATATTAGCTAAATTACTGTAAGATTCCTAATAGCTTTTCCTGGTAAGGCAGACCCAGTAAGAAATAGTAACCATTTGGGCTATATTTACAAGCTATTAAATTTTTGTAATAATTCCAACAATTTTAACATTATATAAGTTATCATAAGAATTAGTATAATCCCAATGTCAGAGTGCTCTTTCTTAGCCTAACTTTTAAAGTGTTTTGAACTTATGTCTTGATAGTAGTTTTAATTCTGGTAGAGAAACTGAAGATGATTTGAGACAGTTGCAGCTTAACAGGTGTTGAGATCAAACTTACAAGACTGGGCCTTACGTGACCTGTGATGAGCAACAGTCAGTGTTGGTCAGGATGAGGACAAGGAGAGTTTGGACAGCTCAGTGCATTCTCATGTAGCAGTTCTGCTGACAAATCTGGAATATTTCTTTTGTTTATAATAAAAAATATTTAAATAAATTTCTGTTAGTTTGAAGGTTGAGATGTTGGGGTAAGAGGCTACAAGGAGAGTAAATCTTTAGGACAGTGTAGTATGAAGGTTTGAGAATGTGTGTGACTAGTCTCTCACTCTGAGCAAACATTCCTAATACTTCCCCAGCTGATGTGTACTTAGAAATCTCTGCTCTAAGGATAGACAACAGCAAAAACAATCCCTTCAATGCACTTAAAGCATTCCTTCAAATTTCTGAAGTGACATTAAAATCCACTGGACTATGAGGACTGGATGTCTGTCTTACAAGTCTGACTGTAGGCAGATCACTGTCTTACTCAGTGCTCAGTCATCTCAAAGGCTCCTCACAGCTGTGTAACTTATAGTCCTTTACACACTGATACACCGAGTTGTCACGCTCAGCACAATCTGTAACTTTTTTACATGGATTATCATCTTCACTGCCAGTCCTGGGCAAAATTGTGCAATAGGTAAAGTTCATAGTTCAGTATCCATTCTCCAATTTCCAGATGCCCCAGACTTAGTATAGTTTCCTTTTAATACTTTATTTTCCCCCACTTCAAATTTTATTTTTGCAATGAACAACTCCATGAAAGTTGCCCACTAAGGAAGGTTCATCAAAGCTGCCTATAAAAGAATCCAACAGAAAGCAGACTGGGATTTGAACTGATAGCTGGTTTCAGGAGGTCACTACAGAAATTTAATGTTGATCCTTTTTGACTTCATGCCTGCAGCCCCGTCCAGTGGTGGCTAAGTAGAATTTTAGTGTGGACAAAGAGCACTGTCTGTGGAAGAAGAGCTTAATCTCCATCTGGGGATCATCCTGGTTGATAAGAGTCCACTGTTTTAATGAATGCAGCCTTACAGTGAAAACACTTTAAAGTTTCAATCAGAAAGCTCATTTTTAAAGTCAGAATATATTTCCTTAGCATTTATTCAGTACTTGTCTTAATGCTAGGCACCACACAGGCACTGGGGATGTGATGTGGTGTCCCCAAAGGAGGGACACAATCCTTGGCCCGAGGTTTGTAGTGTGTTTGTAATACTCTAGTAGTAAGATGTGTGGCCGAGGTTTCAGTTTTGCAGAGAGGTGTTTGCAGTTTCCTCTCGATTCAGCAAGAATTGCTGGTTGTGATTCCAGTGCAACTTTATTTCTTCTAAAAGAACAGAAATTCCCTAATCTAGTTTTCTCCTTAAGTACATAATTTTTTTTAAAAAACTTATGAAAATTAAATATTGTCTTCTAAAATAGTTTATTTTGGGTACAAATAAGCAGGCACCTGAATTTATTTGCAAGAAAAGAAAATTAGTAGGATTCTGAAATGTTCTAAACTCTACATGTTCATAGAGCATTCTTTCGGTGGATATTTTAAGTTTTTTTAAATATGTGTGTGGGTTGTTTTTTTTTTTGTTGTTGTTGTTGTTTTATTTTTTGCTTTTTTTTTGCTGGGGGATCTGGCTTCTCTGTGTAGCCCTGGCTGGCCTCAAACTCACAGAGATCTGCCTGCTTGTGCCTCCCAAGTGCTGGGATTAAAGGCCTGAGCCACCGCTGCCCGGATATTAAGTTTTAACACAATTAGTGACGCTTCTTGTTTCTATACAGAGGAGCAGGTGTACTTCAGGAGCTGTGGTGCATAATCAGATATTTACTGGAGACTCTGGGCAGTGTGTTAAGTAGTGGTAATTACCATTGTGTAAATTTTGAATATTTAGTCTTTTGTTAACAAGAAGGTTTTGTAGAGATTTTTCAAAGGGAAAAAGTCCGAGGAACAAACATAAGTGCTCTCTAGTTACTACAGCCTGTTGAAATTGAAAACCAGTGCTAAATCACAGTCATAGGCATTAGCATATTTGTGGGGATATAGCAGACAAATACAATTTGAGTAAATATTTTCAGTCAGGAGTTCTAGGCTCTACTGACTTGAGTCACACTGCATAGGGATTTAGATCCTAATTTTTATAGATTAAAACTTTTCACTGTTGCACAATTTTGTTTAACATACATAAAAGTTACATGAGGCATGTCAGAAGTTACAGTTTGCAGATTCATCTCATTTTGTATTCCACTGATTCTTCCATTTTTTTCCCCCCAAAACAGTAATATATATTTAGGAGGGATTTTTGTAGGCAATAAAAATTTAAACTCCATTTGTTAAAAGTAGTAATTTCTTGATAATTGTGTAGCCATTTTTTTAGGCCCCAAAAGTTACCTTAAAGGTGAATTTATTCTTAATGACTTCTGTGTAATACTGGGTAGCATGAACTCTGTGCTGAAAAATTGAACAGATACACCCAGTAGGTGTAAAATTATGTCACAACATGAAAATTATTTCTAAAGAAGTGTATTAGTTTTCAAAGAATAGTTATTAATTAGATTCAGATTTGTGGTGTGCCTGTTTGGGGCGGCAGTAGGCATTTTAGATGAATTTGGGAAAATTCAGTTCTCTGCAGAAATGCCAATTTCAGACCCACCCACCCCCCCAAGCTAACTGGGCTGTGTCCTGATTTATCTCCAGGTCCCCAATTCCACTGTCTCATTCTTCATGTTGAAAACACTTCTGCATTTTTATTTGAGTGCCAATTTCTTACTAGTGCTATTTCTTAATGTACCATGTTTACCTGGAATGTATTTTAACTATTTTTGTATAGTGTAAACTGAAACATGCACATTTTGTACATTGTGCTTTTCTTTTTCTTTTCTTTTTTCTTTTTTTGGTGTGTGTGGGACATATGCAGTGTGATCCAGTTGTTTTCCATCCTTTGGTTGTGCTGATCTAGGGAATGTTGGTCATATCAAACATTAAATTTAAAAATGACCACTCTTTTAATTAAAATTAACTTTTAAATGTTTATAGGAGTATGTGCTGTGAAGTGATCTGAAATTTGTAATATTTTTGTCATGAACTGTACTGCTCCTAATCATTGTAATGTAATAAAAATAGTTATGGTGACTATAAAGTGTGTAATCACGTATTTCTTATTGTGGCTGAGGTTCAAGTCCAGAGTCTCAACGTTTGTTAGGCAAGCATCCACACCGAGCTACACCTCAGCCCTGACTGTGGGTGTTTCTTGATGGGAATTTGGAACATCTGCCAAGTAGCTGATAGGAACTCCATTAAGCAGACACTTTTTGCCACTTTAATTTGGAAAGTTCTTTATTTATAAAGTTGCTAAGATTATTATATAAACGTTAAAGTGTTTGCTTAAATATGCGTCCTGTTCAGGTAGGCTCACTCCACACTAGCAAAAGTATATTTGCTTTGATGGTGGAAACAGGAACCTTACCCATGAAAGCTAGTCCAGGCTGGACGGGATTTGGGGTTAAGGGGAGCTAACGGCTACATAATGCCAGTCACCTGCTGAGCATCCTCAAACTCAAAGTCACCTTGATATGTCTTATTTTGAAAATTGCATTCAAATCATTTTGAGGAGGTGTTTGTAGACAGCTTTGAATATGTACTTTTCTCTACTAGATGGGGGAAATCACAAGCGCTCACAAGCTAAAGGTTAATATACTTGTTAGACACCATTTGCTGAGGATAGTCTCATTAGTAAATGGAGAAATCGACTAAGGATAATTCGCTATAACATTAGAAAATTGGGTATGTTTATTTTCTTGAAAAATTGTATTCTCATGAAAGGTGCTAAACTTAGAAAGGTGCTGCTGTGTTAATAAAATTTGAGCATGAAGGATTACGAGTAGAGCTCAGTATTGATGAGGCTGACACAAATGTATTAGGGCACCTCTGGGTTTTTAAACATGTACTGTGACAGTGTGAATGGAATCATTTTATAATAGTTGGTACACACAAACAGCTGGCGCTGTCAGCCAGGTGTTGATAGCAATGGTTGGTTAGTTGTTGGTATCTGAATAGTAACGTTGCTTCATAGCTCTGTATTTCCTAAGGAAGTATAAGGCCTCTAGCTCCTTCATCACAAATTCTCCTCGTGCAATGAGCTCTTTGATCTTCTCTGGGTCCTTCACATCCTTGTTTTTAAGGAAAACATTCTTCAAACGCCTTTTAAAATAGTCTGCTCCTTTTGGATAGTCCCGTCCAAGATACAGCAGCTTTAAAAAGAAAGATGTGTTTCTAAGCAATCCATGTCATATGATAACATTTGTAAAGTTGGCAGCATAATTACTTACATTTTTGTAAAGGGCTAGTACTTCTCCTCTCAAAGAATTAGCCATTTTCATTTAACATGGAATCAATCCACTCTTATACATACCTAAAGAAAAGGAAGATTTTTCTTTTCAGATAACTGCTATGTACTCTTCATCACAAACATTACATATTGGGGAAGTGGTAAGCTTGTTTTTATCTTTGTGCGCAGGTGTGCACTTTCCACCGTATGCATGTTGGGGCCATGCCCTCTGGTGTCAGTCCTTTCCATAAACCGTATTCAGTGAGCTGGCCCTGTGTTCAGGGACTCCAGCCTTGCTGGGGTCTTGCTCGTGTGTTTTATTCACTAAGATATACTCCCCAGAATGGTAGTTTGTGCTGAGAGCTTTTATAATCTAGGCTCTCTTAGCTTTTCCAAGCCTGTTTGCATACCAAAAGGAAAACTGTCTACCCCACTCTCAAGGTTAAGCGTCATTACTTGGGAGACACTAAGAGTCCAAATCTCAAAAGGTGTTCTCGGAGGAGAGTTAAAGACGAAAAGAAACGGTGTTGGGAGATCAAAGAGGTTGGCGCAGAACGAGAATGCACAATGATGGAATGAGGGCAACTGAAGCATTTGGCAAGGACTCCACAGGAACAGACAGCATCTGCAGTGGTGACCATGCTTCTTATGTTGAGTGGCTCAAGGTGCCAAGGAGCAGAGTTTGGGAAAGGCCTCACTTGACCATGCCTAAATATATTCCCATTTCTAACCTCTTACATTGCATCTTTATCAGCTAGGCACAATTCCACTGTTGTTATGGCTGATTAAAAGTGCTTGCCAGGATTCTGCCCTGTAAAATTACTTGTTCCCAGGAATCTACTTCATGTAGAAGCAAATGAATTTATAAACCACCATATGGATGGGATATTTTAGGAGGCAATATGGACTAGAACACTAGTTCTCAAACTTTCCAAATGCCATGACCCTTTAATAGTTCCTCAGGTTGTGGTGACCCCCAACCACAAAACTACTTTTGTTGCTACTTCATAATTAATTTTGTTACCCTTATGAATCGTAGCATAGATGGTTTTAGATGACCCCTGTGAAAGGGTCGTTTGACTCCAAAGGTTGCCACTCACAGGTTGAGACATGCTGTACTGGAAGCTCACTACAATAGGGACTGTCTGGGCCTCTTAAATACTGAGTAAAGGTGTGCACTTGTACATCCAAGTCCTTTATGCATGTGTGGTTCTTATATTGATCTTTATATAATCTGGTGACACCACAAAACAATAGTAGTAGCTTTGTTGAGTAATTAAAAACAAAAGCTAACTTTCCAACAACGGCTTATAGTGAGCTAAATTTGAATTTGTATGCAGTGGATGGTGAGTTTTTATCTCGTTACCAAGGCTCAGAGGGCAGTAAGATCATAAGTATTACGCAACCAATAACTTTAACCCACAAAAACTAGCTGCCAGTAATACTTAGGAATAGAACATTTAGTCAGGGGCATGTAAGAACGTGATAGAACATTAAATTGGAATTTAGATAGGGGACATAATTTTACTTCGTTTTGTGTTTAATAGGTTGGACAGGTCTTAAACTGGGGTTAGGACAAATAATTGACTCGGTTTCTGCTACTTTCCGGTTGGTGTAACGTGCCATTTCTTTATACAGAGAGGTGCTCCGATTCTGAAGGCTGCTACAACAGCGCAACTGAGTCGGTGACCTTGGGACAAAACGGGCTCGCTGGATCTTAGCCACGTCTACCGGAATAGTTTGCCCAGGAATTAATTCGAGTCACTTTCACACCTTGTGTGGGCAGCTCTAGGGGAAAGGGGCGAATGTTTTGCACAGAAACTAAACCATCGCGGTCAGTGAGGAATCTTCACTACTTTAGTCTCTAGGTAAGGACCCTCTAGGAGCCCATCTGCCTCGCCTACGCGGCCAAGCGACCTCCTGGCGACCTGCCCAGAGCCGGTGGCTTTACCTAGTCGCCGGCTGGCGCCATCCTTAGATCCCCGGGAAATGGCTTGCTGCGGAGCACAGAAGCGAGGGAAAAACCCCTTTATAGAGTCGGGCGTGGCGACCCACGGCTGTAACCCCAGCTCGGAGGAGGAGGAGGAGGGCTAGAGGGATGCCCGCGAGTTCCAAGTCAGCCTGGGACGCAGCGTGAGAACACACAGCTCCCCTCCCACCGCAGAGCCCGCTCCTAAAGCATACTTCACCACCTGCAGGTCCGGATCCGGAAAACCAGTCGCTCGGCCGCCGCGCTCCAGCGCTTTGCGGCAGCACGGCCGTAAACGCTCTGACAGCGGCAGTCCTCCCTCGGAGGGGGCGGGGCGCCTGCCGGAAGTGGGCGGGGCGCCGGCCGGAGTGGGCGGCCCTAGGTAACTGGCCGTGGGGGCGGGGCTCGTGTCGGAAGTGAGCTAGGGCTCGAGCCGCCAGTTTATGACAAGGACAAGACTCCCGCCGGAAGACCGCAGGGCGACTGCGCCGGCGGACCTCCGCAGAGCGCTGGGATTGGTGCGTGGGCGTGGCCTGTCGCCCTGACAACCGTGAGCGTTCCTACGCTGCAGAGTTCAGACTTTTCCTTCCAGAGGGTCCTTCTCTCATGGTGAGCCGGGGAAAAGGAGGGAGACGAGGGGCGAGCGCGGACTGACGGGAGGGGAGCCGGTGGACGGGCGCAGTCCCAAACCAGCTCGTGCAAACCGAAGGTGGCGGGGTCCGCACGTCTCCCGTAGCTAAACTCGAAACTTGATCCTTACCGAGTAACTTCCGGTGATGCGCATTCCTTTTACTCTGCAACCTGTCAGAAACGTTTTCAGACCAGCGGCGATGGCTTAGTCGACTTTGAAGTTACTTCGTATGTCTTTCCTAGGAACCTAAATTGTTTTGCTTCTAAGTAGTCAGCCTACACTCATTCATTATAATAAAGCTTGCTATTTTGTTTTTCTTGCATTTCAACTTTCACGTCTTCACCAAGGAGACCGACCAACATGGAACTAACGACGTGTATGTTTCCCATTCTCCATCAAGAGATCGTGTTTTCACATTCAGTTTCACAACTGACACGGAGAATGCAATTACTGATTTTGTAATTGAAATTCAGAGTACATTCTTTTTTATTTTATTTATTTATTTATTTATTTATTTATTTATTTATTTATTTGAGACAGGGTTCTTCTGTAGCTTTGGAACCTGTCCTGGAACTAGCTCTTGTAGATCAGGCTGGCCTGGAACTCAGAGATCCGCCTGCCACTGCTTCCCTGGTGCCGGGATTAAAGGCGTGCGCCACCACCGCTAGGTCAGAGTACATTCTTTATGATTCCTGCAGGAAGTCAGAACAGAGTATGCCAGCGCCCCTGCAGCAGGCAAATTGAGCGGAGTTAACTGCCACGCTTTACCATGGTAACAGCTGTGTTTCTGAAGCAGTAAATAAGTTATCAAGGCCAGGTAAAGAAGGAAAGACTGGTACTTTTAAACCTCTTTTAAAATATAAATGTGAATTTTCTGTAAGTGGTAGGAAGAAATGGATACTGGAGAACTCCCCTGGCAAACCCCAGCGGAGCTTAAGCCAAATCAAAACCTGTGGCAGTTTACTAGAACAATCACTTGTTTGCTCCATCGAAACGAGTTTGAATTTCTTTTTCCTAGATCTGCCTAGCACAGTTTCTCAAAGACTGACCCTGCAGCTTTTGTTTCCAAGCCGGTCGGAGGATTTGCTTAAAATATAGAATCCAGGAAGTTGTGACTTCAAATCTCCTATCTCAGGGTTTTCAGGGAACAAAGTGCCATAAACACGGTGGCTTAAACAGAAGCTGCCTGCCTCACCGTTGTGGAGAAGGAACATCTGAGACCAGAGTGGCAGCCTTGGGGGGATTGTCTCTACTTCTAATAGTACCTTGGGGTGTAGGAGTGTAACCTCACTTTTCACGAAATGTTTATTTTCTTTGTGAGAGTCTATATTCAAGATTTCTCTTTCTACATGGGTACCAGTCATATTAATCCAGAGGTCCACCCAGTTTCAATAGCAGGTCATCTTAATTTGGTGAAATCATCGCTGACCCTTTATCTAAGCAGGTCAAATGTGACATACAAGAAGTTAAGATTTTAGTGTGTGAATCTGAAAGGACATAATCCCACCCCTCAGTCTAAAGAATTATAATACAGGAAAAGGGCGTGACTACATTCACTGGTAAGTCCAGGCATACGGATTTCTCAGAAAGCAGTGACACCTTCACTGCTGAAGTTTGGAGAGCAGGTTTACTCCTTGATGGCTCTTGTGTTGGCAGGAAGGACAAGGGTGGGGCTTTTCTCAAGCCTGCTTCATGTTAGAAATAGAAGTGAGAGATAAAAATGTGTGCGTTGTCTTTAAGATGAGTGCTTGAGACTAGGGCAGGGCATTCACATAATCTCCACGCGGTGTTTGTTTCAAGATGGAAGCGTGTTGACCGTGTTGACCATGGTTGTAGGGATAAAAACCCATCTGTAGAAATCACACAAGGGAAAGCTGCCGTGGTCGTCCCTGTAGCTCTAGCTAGACTTTAGAGTGTCCTGCGTGTAGATCACCAGTAACGATCTAAGGAGTGAATCTCTGAAGTGTGTACACATTCAGGACGATGTCATTGAATGTATGCCGACTTTAGCGCTTGTGTATTATAATGATGCTCCTATGGCTTGAACCAGTATTTCCTATAGCTCTTCAGAGCTGCAAACTGTGTAACTTATACTCACACAGTTCCTTTACAAATCTTCACCAGAAAGCTGATGGGCACACAGGACTTCTCGGGAATTTACGAATAGTATTACTGAGCAATACTTATAACTGTAAACCAGTATTGAAGTACTGTGCTTTCCAAAATGGGTAGATCGACTTTAACACATGTGGCCGGACAGGCTTCATTTTATCGTTGGTTGGCAAACTTTAAAAATCTGACGGCCTCCCCATAAAAACCACCAGCCTTACGTAATAGAAAGGTTCCTTTATGAGCAGCCCACATTTGCAGATGTGATGTAGTACCACTAGCCAGCAATTTGTGCTGGCTTCTTTTTACAACATCTTTTCAGTTTAATGTACCTAAAGAGTCACCCAAAAGTTCCAAAGAAGGTACAAAGAACATTCCCTTCACCAGTTTCTCCTAAATAATGTTCTATGCTGTGCTTTGTTGAAAGTATCTGAATTCTCTTTAAAATATGTCAATGCTTTTGTTTTCCAACCATTTAGGGTCCCAAACCAAAAAAGGTATGTAGAAATTATGTTTTCAAAATAGATAGTTGTATATATTGTACAAATGAGCTTCTTATGAAATTTTGAAATAATTTTCTAGTTATAGTTTATAGAATTTAGTAAGCTCATCTTCTAGATAATAATATTGTTTAAATAATTGGGTAATTCTTCACAATTACAAATTATCTTACACTTGATGATATTTCTAGTTTGAAATTTATAAATTGCCTTTAGTTCCTACCTGTGCCTGGATTTGAGGCTTTAGATTTCACTTCCAATGTAGAATGTGTTGGGTTAAACTGTCCTTCTACTTATTTCACATAAACCTAAAATGTAGTTACAGGCCTGCTGTGATTGGCACAGGCTTGTGGTTTTCTGCGTTCCTTTGCACAGGGTAGAAACTGAGGTTGGCTAAAGGACACGCTACCCCATATGTCTGGAATATTGAGGTTGGCTAAAGGACACGCTACCCCATATATCTGGAATATTGAGGTTGGCTAAAGGACACGCTACCCCTATGTCTGGAATATTGAGGTTGGCTAAAGGACACGCTACCCCATATATCTGGAATATTGAGGTTGGCTAAAGGACACACTACCCCATATATCTAGAATATTGAGTTTGGCTAAAGAACACGCTGCCCCTATGTCTGGAATATTGAGTTTGGGTAAAGGACATGCTATCCCATATATCTAGAATATTGAGGTTGGCTAAAGAACACGCTACCCCATATATCTGGAATATTGAGGTTGGCTAAAGAACACACTACCCCGTATGTCTGGAATATTGAGGTTGGCTAAAGGACTCACTACCCCTATGTCTGGATGTCTTTTCCATCCTCCCTCCCTCCCTCCCTCCCTCCCTCCTTCCCTCTCTCTTTCCCTCTCTCCTTCCTTCCCTTTCTTTCTTTTCTTTTTCTTCTTTTAACAAAACCACTTCTCAAGTGTGGCATGGCATCTCACACCTGCAGTCCCAGCTACAGTGGAGTTTGAAATAGGAAGTTCATGAGTTTGAAGGCAGCTTGGACCAAAACCAAACCAAAACAACCTCCCTACCCCTGCCCAATAAAAACAAAGACACAAACAACAAACAAAAACTGTTTGATCAGACATTGTCCCCCAAATTAAAGTCTAATAAAACAGTTAAAAAGAAGCTGCATTGTTCTAGTTGTGAAATACTCAGACTGATCGCGCTGGGCCTGAGGTCCTAAAAGGCAGCAGTGTGTGGGGCTCAGCAGTGCTTACCTCTCTCAGGAATGCGAAGAGCATCTCGGTCTCGCCCTAGTCCTGTCTATGGTCAGAACCCTGACCTGTTCACCTCCCTGACCACGACCGGAGCATAGGCTTAATGTACCTGCTTTAAAGTATGTCCTACCGTTCTCTCTTGAAAACTCAGTCACATCCGACCCTCCTCGTCCCTTGGTCCTGCACTCATGGATTAAACCAAACAAATTAAGACTCTTCTTCAGACATGTTACCAGAAGGTTGGGTGTGGTGGTGCTTTCTTTGATCCCAGTGCCCAGAGAACCACAGGTTCTAATCCAGCTTCAGCTACGCAATGAGACCTTGCCTCAAAAAAAAGGGGGGGGGGGACCAAACTCAGGTCCTCTGCAAGAGTAGCAAGTGCTTGTCCCTCTAACCTCCAGCATCCACATGGTGGCTGTCAGTTCTGTAACTCCAGTTCCAGGGATCTAACACCCTCTTCTGACCTCTGTGAGCACCAGGCACACACAGGATGCTCATACACATATAATTTTTTAAAAAATCAAATGTAATAGGAACAGTACTGTGTATTTTGGAAATCTAGAATAAATAATTTGGAATGTTTTGGTGATAAAGAAATAAATATTTGGGAAATCCCTCTACAGAGAACACATGCAGACTTTTATGTAGAGTTGTTCCTGGACAACAAATGCAGCAGCTGCCTAGATTGGATGTGTAGCATGTAGGAGAAGATACACACAGGTCGCATGC